CCTGGGACAAGTCTCACCCCCGCAGCTCCTCTCCACCGTGTGTCTCTGGCGGGCGGCCCACACCCCCGGGCTGCGCCACCCACCCAGGCCCTGCCCATTCTGCGCTGCCCCGGGACTCACTGCGCTGCCCCATGGGCTGCAGGGTTGGAGCAGCCTCTGCGCTGCACTGCAGCGCTCCTGGCCTTGGCTGGCCATGGCCTGTGTGCCCACACTGCTGCACAGGGGCATCTCCTCCCCAGGCCCAGCTCAGGATCCAATGGGGCAGTGAGGGGGCGAGGCTCGGGGTGGGGATTTGGGAAGGGATTCAATGAGGGAACGAGGGGGCGGATTCGGGGTGGGGGGGGCGAGAGCCCCTCCGGGCTCTGCCTGTGCGCCGGAGTGGAGGGCAAAATTGTTTGTGTGTCCCGACCGAATATCGGTTGGGATGCGGGACAAACAAGCAAATATCGGGACAGTCCCGATAAAATCGGGACGTCTGGTCACCCTACAAAGTGTCGGAGAATAACAGAGTTCTCACTTTTTGTTTGGGTACAGCAAGTCAGATACTTTATTTTCTCTCTATCAATTGTATGGAGGGAGAGAGCTAAACTGGTCTCCCAACAGGTAAACAATTACAGCAAGCATTTATACCTTTTGTTACAGACAATAATGAGCAACAGCTGCATTTTGTTTATACATAGGTCATTCTGATATCTGGTTTTGCTCACTAATGTAGACTCTTACTCTACATTCCATATTATCTACACATTATCTACACAAGGTCGCAACAACTTCTCACCCAGTTCTTTCCCACTCGCCTCACACATTCCTCGCTTCTACAAATCTCGCGTTATCAGGGTTACAGTTAGCCTGACTCTTGCTAACGAACTGTCATAAATTGCATCCCCTTCCTGTCAGTTCTTTCTCTGCGTCCACAAAAGAAATAGCAACAGCGCAGGAGGAGGCTGCCCCACTAAGCCTGCCGGGCTCAAGATGTGGCATGGAATGCGAGAGCATTTAGGCTGCTGGCAGCCTTGGAGGAGCTGATTTAGGGTGCCAGTCAGGTTGGAGGTGTAAGTGGCAGAAGTGTTGCAGCACTTCAGGCTGGTGCATTATTCTGTCTGCTGCAGAATGCAGCCATTTGGAGAGGGGTAGGGCTCAGAGGATATGAAGTCCCAACACCCAAGTGCCAGTGCCTAGAGGAGTTGCCTCAACATTTGCCTGGAACAAATTTCATCTCTTTTCTACGTGCGCTGCTGACCTGTCAAAGTTACACCCCAAAGCTGGTGCCTGGCACCAATGCAGTCCAGCAGCTGGCTGGCTGGGGGAGTTGTGGGGACCTAGGGCACTGCGGACGGCAGGCAGAAGTGGGAGTGTGTTGGAGAAAGCACAGCAGTGCTGCATGAGTCAGAAAAACAAGCAAACAAAAAAGGTAAAGTCACTTTTTCCCCTCGTTTAGCATGTGCGGGGGATAACAAGAGATACTTACATTGGAGAGGAGGATCATTGTGACATGATGCAAGGCATGCCTCCTCCTCCCAGGCACCGCACATGTTCCCTCCAGCATGCACCTAGCTCCTGCCAACCCAAGGAGCAAGAGAGTGGTACTGGGACTGGAATGTGACCACCAAGCTGTGGGACATCAGACAAACCCTTCACATCCTCAGTTACATTTTTCAATCTGCAACCTTTAAGTAACTGAAAGCTCTATTATTACCAGCTCTGAACCCTGCATGAACACATTGATCATATCTTGGTGTAAGTGACTTTTCAAAAGTTAATACTGTTTACATTTGGATGTGGGTCAGGAAAGCTATTTAATTTTGTGTATGGTTTCAGAGTGGTAGCGGTGTTGGTCTGTATCAGCAAAAACAACAAGGAGTCCTTGTGGCACCTTAGAGATTAACAAATTTATTTGGGCATAAGCTTTTGTGGGCTAGAACCCACTTCATCAGATGCATGGAGTGGAATATACAGGAGCAGGTATAAATACCTGAAAGGATGGGCTTGCTTTACCAAGTGTGAGGTCAGTCTAATGAGAGAAATCAATTAACAGCAGGATACCAAGGGAGGAAAAATAACTATTGAAGTGGTAAGAGAGTGGCCCATTACAGACAGTTGACAAGAAGGTGTGAGTAACAGTAGGGAGAAATTAATATTGGGGAAATTAGGTTTTGTAATGACCCAACCACTCCCAGTCTTTTGTCAGGCCTAATCTGATGGTATCCAGTTTGCAAATTAATTCCAGTTCTTCTACTTCATGTTGGAGTCTGTTTTTGAAGTTTTTGTTGTTGAAGAATTGCCACTTTTAGGTCTGTTATTGAGTGACCAGAGAGATTGAAGTGCTCTCCTATTGGTTTTTGAATGTTATGATTCCTGATGTCAGATTTGTGTCCATTTGTTCTTTTGCATAGAGACTGTCCGGTTTGGCCAATGTACATGGCAGAGGGGCATTGCTGGCACATATCACATTGGTAGATGTGCAGGTGAACGAGCCCCAGATGGTGTGGCTGATGTGGTTAGGTCCTATGATGGTATTCCTTGAATAGATATGTGGACAGAGTTGGCACCGGGGTTTGTAGCAGGGTTTGGTTCCTGGGTCGGTGTTTTTGTTGTGTGGTGTGTAGTTGCTGGTGAGTATTTGCTTCAGGTTGGGGGGCAGTTTGTAAGCGAGGACTGGCCTGTCTCCCAAGGTTTGTGAGAGCGAGGGATCGTCCTTCAGGATTGGTTGTAGATCCTTGATGATGTGCTGGAGGGGTGTAGGTGACGGCTAGTGGGGTTCTGTTACTTTCTTTGTTGGGCCTGTCTTGTAGTGGGTGACTTCTGGATACCCTTCTGGCTCCGTCAATCTGTTTCTTCACTTCACCAGGTGGGTATTGCAGTTTTAAGAATGCTTGATAGAGATCTTGTAGGTGTTTGTCTCTGTCTGAGGGATCGGAGCAAATGCGGTTGTATCTTAGAGCTTGGCTGTAGACAGTCGATTGTGTGATGTGGTCTGGATGAAAGCTGGAGGCATGTAGGTAAGTATAGCAGTCAGTAGGTTTCCGGTATAGGGTGGTGTTTATGAGACCATTGCTTATTAGCAGTGTAGTGTCTAGGAAGTGGTCCTCTTGTGTGGACTGGTCCAGGCTGAGGTTGATGGTAGGGTGGAAATTGTTGAAATCTTGGTGGAATTCCTCAAGAGCCTCCTTCCCGTGGGTCCAGATGATGATGATGTCATCAATGTAGCTCAAATAGAGTAGGGGCATAAGGGGACGACAGCTGAGGAAGTGTTGTTCTAAGTCAGCCATAAAAATGTTGGCATACTAAGGGGCAATGCGGGTACCCATAGCAGTCCCGCTGACTTGAAGGTATAAATTGTCCCCAAATCTGAAATAGTTGTGGGTGAGGACAAAGTCACAAAGTTCAGCCACCAGGTTTGCTGTGATGGTATCAGGGATGCTATTCCTGATGGCTTGTAGTCCATCTTTGTGTGGAAAGTTCGTGTAGAGAGCTTCTACATCCATAGTGGGTGGCTAGGATGGTGTTTTCTGGAAGATCACCAAAGGATTATAGTTTCCTCAGAAAGTCAGTGGTGTCTCAAAGATATCTGGGAGTGCTGGTAGCATAGGGTCTGAGGATAGAGTCTGCCTAGCCAGATAATCCTGCTGTCAGGGTGCCAATGCCTGAGATGATGGGGCATCCAGAATTCCCGGGTTTATGGATTTTGGGTAGCAGGTAGAATACCCCTGGTTGGGCTCTAGGGGTGTGTCAGTGTAGATTTGTTCCTGTGCTTCTTTAGGGAGTTTCTTGAGCAGATGGTGTAGTTTCTTTTGGTAACCCTCAGTGGGGTCAGAGGGTAATGGCCGGTAGAATGTGGTGTCAGAGAGTTGCTTAGCAGCCTCTTGTTCATATTCCGACCTATTCATGATGACTACAGCACCTGTATGTGAGAGAAGAGGTAATGCATGTTTTAATTACATATTGAAATATTTACTTTTTCCACTCTTTCACAAACCATTTCAATTTCCATCACTGCTTCCTACGAAATATTATGCTGTTCCCAGTTGGTCCATCAGTATCGTAGTAATGGGTCAGTGGCGGGTATTGGATAGATTAGGTATGTGATGAAGCCACCTCTTGTTCCCTTTCCTAGTTCTTTCAAAATGGTGTGGGGGAGAGGAGTTGTCAGAATTGGTTCAGAGGCCCTTCTAAGAATCTGCATCACTGACCTAGTTGATTTAACATGCATGACATCAGGAGAGATGAATTATACAGTAGATCAGTCTTCTGCAGCTACTTAAGCAAAATCAGTGTAATCTGCATTGCAAATGGAGTTAGCTGCCTGAAGTGATAGGAAATGTTTGAACAGGTTCCAGGGTGAGCTGTACAAACTGATTTAGATCTCTCATTCTGGTCCTGTTACAACGTTTAAGGAAGCCCAATGGTTTTGCTGATTCCAAGTACTGCCTGCAGTTAATGTTCTTCTAGTTATATTACTTCATTGTAGGTAACTGCATCACCTTGCAACATCTGTTTATCTAGTTTGGCATTTTAATATGAATGGCTTTTGATTCTGTGGGGAATTTGAAGGCAGTTACACATGCTGAGCCATAAGTAACTGGGCACTCAGTCCTGTCCCTAAATATATCCACTTTCAAACCACATGCCGGGGAAACTTTAGGAGAATTGGCTGATTGTGATTTGAAGGACATGGCAGTGCTTTGTGCATGTGTGTCAGTGATACTGACACACATGTCTACATTGCAACTAGACACCCGCAGATGGCCTGTGCCAGCCAACTTGGCTCCGGGGCTGTTTCATTGCTGTGCAGACTTCTGGGCTTGCGCTGGATTCCGGGCTGTAGGACCCTGGAGGGTGGGAAGGTCCCAGAGCGCAGGTTCCATCCCCAGATCCAAAGTCTACACAGCAATGAAACAGCTCTGCAGCCCGAGCCCCATGACCCCGAGTTGGCTGGCACATGCCAGCTGCCGCTTTCTCTTTGCTGTGTAGATGTATCCTGAGTGTGGAGGAATTCAGGCAGTGGATTACCATGCCCTTTCCCCCCAAGTAATTCTCCCATGCAATAAATAGATAGCCCCTTCTCTTTCCATCAGGCTGCCTTCCCTAGCATGGGTCAGCCAGGCACACGCATACCGTACATGGTTGTCTGGGTCTTAATGCTCAATATCCACAGAAGGAGATCAACTCCCTTCTGTTAAAAATTGAGGCCATTTAGTCAGCCTTGGAATAAGGGTTCATTGGGTGATAGCCAGGTCCTCCTCTTTGGCTGGGATGTGTAAGCTGGTCGCTTTTTTCTCTTAATGGACTTTTAAGGAAAAAAGTCCTTTGGGATTCAGCAAGTGAACCCTTATCCCTCTTCATAGTGTATTCTGGGGTAAGTCCCTGTCATCAGTGCTGTGTCTGAGCACTCAGCAATGGATTGAGAGCCAGCAGCTGGCACTGGGGACTTGAAGAGTCTGCGTGATCCTAGCTAGGGGGTCACACATCACTCTGCAAAGGCAGCTGAGGCTCATTATCCATTCAGCCAGGATGGCAAGGAGCCAAAGGTTGTTCTAGTCACCTCATTAGAGAGTGGTCTAAAGGGTAAAGTAGCTGATTAGTAAATGAAGAGTTTTGGAGGGCTGTGGCTGAGCCTGTCTGCATCTCAATTAAGCTTAGTCGTTTGAAATATGATATTGCTGCCACTGGCTGACTGTGCTAATTTGAGTGTTTCCAAAACGCTGCAAATAAATTCCAAATGAGTTTCCCCAAGGATTAAAACAGGCTAAGCCACAGATACAGCCTTTGAGATGACCTAGGCTGGGTGCTGCTGACCTGAGCGGTGACAAGAGGTAACCTGCAGAAGGAGAAGAGGCTGTGGGAGGAAAAACTAAATAGAGGCTCTGGAGGGGAAAGAGGCAAGAAGAGAAAATAAAAAGGGAGAGAGAAAGCAAAACAAGGAGGAGGAGTCTAAAGAAAGCTCTGTGGAGATAAAATGACTTGAAGTGGGTGTGACAACAGAGAAGGAAATCAGGAATGGACTAAAACATGCAAGGAAAATCCAAAGTCTGAGGTTAGTAAAAATTACTTTAACTTCCTTGGCTGTAAAGGGGAAGCAGAAGAGAAGGTTGTTTTTCTATTGGTGAAAGTTGATCTCTCTCCTGTGAGAGCCAGGGCTAGGCACACCTGCTACCCCGGCCAGAGAATCCTGCACAGCATATAGGGTTGCCAATTTTCTCCAGGAATTAAAGATTAATATTCAATTAAATATTATGTCATGTGATGAAACCGCCAGAAATGCATCCAACCAGAATTGGCAACCCTATATGCTGTGCAGGATTCTCTGGCCGGGGTAGCAGGTGTGCCTAGCCCTGGCTCTCACAGGAGAGAGATCAACTTTCACCAATAGAAAAACAACCTTCTCTTCTGCTTCCCCTTTACAGCCAAGGAAGTTAAAGTAATTTTTACTAACATCAGATTATGGATTTTCGTTGCCTGTCTTAGTCCATACCA